CTGTTCTCGATCAATTGTAATCTGTAGGGCCGGTCAAAGCTCCAAAGCAAGGTATTTATGCAACCATTAAGAATAATAATAACGACACACGTTTTTTAAGAAGTTCTAAGAATGCATTCCTAACACATTCTTCAGGGTTCAATTTTGTGGTATTTAAAGTTTGGTTCTCAAAACTTCAAATAAATTCATTAGATCGGATTAGAGTGCAGCATGGGCGTTTTTCGGTTTAATTGATTTTTATAACAAAACTCTTTGTTCATGGTTAAACGTAGCTTGGATTATATATAAAGGTTTGCAGATCAGAAATCAACAATGTTTCAAGAACTTGGTTTAGAACTATTGTGTTTCGACTTGGGAGCAAGAATTGATCTTTATCTTGTGCAGACGAACTTATTTAATTCCTCTGGCAAATCCATTCATGATCTTACCCTGTATGCAGTGCAGTCTCAACAAAAAAGTGATCAAGCATTTATCTGTAAAATTCATTAGTTGTCATGGACGGTTGGTTTCGAGATTAGCGCTATTTCACATAATAGTTTAGACTTCAAGTTTCTGTAGAAAAGAAAGTAGGTTGATAGAGAAGAGAAGTCTGGAAGGAAGGTTTCCAAGATATGCAAGTTCTCTAGGTCTAATTCTAAACACATGCATTCAGTTCTCACTACAGTTGAAAACAATTGCTCGGCTTCATTTTAAACAACAATCTTCAATTTGCAATCTATAATATACAATAGTAAAATACAATCTACTTACAATCTAATATAAAATTCTACAATCTACAATTTGCAATCTATAATGTACAAAAGTAAAATGCAATCTTTTTACAATCTGTTATAAACATCTAAATCTTCAATTTGCAATCTATAATATACAAAAGTAAAATACAATCTACTTACAATCTATTACAAAAATCTACAATCTACATTTACAGTGCANCCTCCCACTCCCTCCTCCTCCCCCCCTTCTTATGCACACAATCCTTCTTTCTGTCTCCTTAAAACTCCTCCTTCTCCCAAACTCTCCCAACCCACACCCTCCACTCCTACAACTCCCTTAACTCTGTGTACTACCATTACTCTATGCTGTATTTCTTTAACTCCATTTTCTCAATACCTTAATTCACTCCCTCCACCTCATTAACTCCCTTAACATAATTTACTCCCTCCACTTGGAATCACTCCCTCTACTGCTTTCACTTCCTCCATTCCATTCACTCCCTTACATTAATTCACTCTCTCAACTTCATTTACTCCCTTACCTTAATTCACTCTCTCAACTTCATTTACTCCCTTACCTTAATTCACTCTCTCAACTTCATTTACTCCCTTACCTAAATTCACTCTCTCAACTT